AAATAAAACGGTACATAATCGGGACCTAAGCTCTGGGAAGGGTTTAGAGACTTGAGGCACTTTTGAACATCATTTGTGTTAAAACCTGGAAAGGGGCTATTATTAACACAAGTGATGCTGGGAAGCATGGCATTTGAGGGAGAGTAAATAAAAGATTTGTTAAGAGTACATACATCAAAAGAATATGGAATATTGTTTATCTGCTTACCACCAGTGATTTCCTTAAATAGTTTCCACATATTAGAAGGATTTTTGCAGGAAATGAATTTCTGGTTATATATTACATTCAACCTCTGCATTTCAGACTTGATTAAGAAGTTAGTTCTTTTTACACCACTTTTAATCAGGAGACGCGTAATTAGTGGTCACCATCTGCTGAGAAACACTGATCCATAACGTCTCCTCTTTTATTTTAACACAATTCTGCCTAAATACAAAATAATGTAGTTGGTTTTGACAGAAATGTATTAGAAAAGAAAAGGTGTTCAGCAAATTGTTACTCTTTTCGGCGATATCATTCTCAAGCTGTACAAGTCTTGGCAACAAAAGGAACAAAAGAAACGTATTATATTATCACAGATTTTGTACGGCATTCAATCTGTATACTTCAACAGTGAAATATGAGGAAACTAATTTCAAAGGAAGTAGGATGGATTTCTCAGAGTTAACCTTGGAATTTGTTCGTTTAGAACTTTAAAACAACCCTTACGATAAGTTATAAAATAAGGAGTGTATTGTATTTGACTTCATGTGTCCCATGGTAATGAAGATCCAGACAATATTATGCTTAGCGTCTTTGTTGGAATTTTGTACGTTTTAGGCGTGCTGTGTAAATAATTCAAGATATTATGTGTTTTCAATGAACCGGTTATATTTTACAGGAAATAAGTAATTTAAGAAATTATTCATTTAGTTTGTCAATTGTTGTATTTAAACAGCAAAATAAAATGTGACTTCAACTATTCTACCCACAATCGAATCCGCAACTAAACCAGCCAGCTCAGAGAACACTACTAATTGCAAATTATACTCTACCACAGAGCACAAGTTCTATCCTTATTTCGACTATTTTCGTCTCATTACTCATTACTTATAAGTAGTCAAAGAATGTAAGGCGAAATTTGTTCATAGATGGAACATTACCAGTGTTGACTGGCTGACTAGTTTCAACGTGGAACCTTGCACAGATGTGCAGCAGTTCCAGTCGCCACACTCTATGTAGCACATAAAGGTAGAGAGTAGAGTAGACGCACAGTGGTTAGGACTCTCGCTGACCATGCACATGGTCCGAAGTTCGATCCCCTGCCGACGCACACCTGATATCTATGGTCGGCCTGCAAAATTTGGGGTATCGATACCACATGCTGAAAATTCCATACTTGTACCAAAAATACAGTGTTGAATCAAGCTGTAATCAAAAATAAAAAAAATAAATAAAAAACAGATAATAAATGGAAATATAGGGCAAAAAGAATAGTAATATGGAGGAACAATATGGTTTTATTGGATGCATCTGTGCCGGCCATTGAAAACGATTTTAAGCTATATCATCAATTGCCTCCAGCCATTGGTTGTTACCATCGCGAGGTTCCAAACCAGGATGTCTACATCTTCCTACGTGGCTTAAACTAACTGTTGTGGATTTCACTGAGTGATGAAGCCATGTTGATTTTGTTTTGACCATCCGTGGCTCCTTCCTCCCAACCTAAGTCAGCTAGCAGTGCTCGTGGAGGAAAGCGATTCCTAGACATACCTGACACATGTCCTAACCATCTCAATCGATATAACTTCACAGCCTTGTCTACTGACTTCCCCTCCTTGCTTAGCAGTGTTAGAGATGTTAAGTTAATATATTTTAAAACAAGCAATAAAGGTTAATAAAGCAGGATTTAATGAATTCTTCAAATTTCACTAGAACTCTTTCTCAGCTGAATACTCTACATACACGGATATGTATATACTTTTGAAATTACATTGGGAGATATAAGACTGATAAGTAAACAAACTACATTGAATTAGTCCTGCAGAAAGACAGATGCGAATGTTTTCCAGGTCATGTTGAAATAGATTAGGGGAGAGAGACTATGGGAGATCAAAATTAAGATAAATTGCATCACTTAGATAAACATTTAGTCACTAGAGAGTATACAAAGAATTGCAAACAGACTAATATCAATAGTCATAGTTATAATAATAGTGTTGAAGTGATCTAAGATAATCCTACTGATAAAGGATAGTTTTAAATGAAAACAAAACACGTAGGATGGATGGATTTCCCACTGATGACATCGGTTGGTGCCAGTCGCGCTAAATGACGAATTGGTATAAGTTAAAATTCATGGGTTAGCCATTGAATTGGGTCCCAGTGGCCGAATGGTATACGAGCTTTCCTTGTAACTGGAAGGTCCAGGGTTTGAACCTTGGCGGTGGGTGCGTACTTACGATGATTCTCAAACTAGGATGAAACAGCTGTCTAGTACTCCCTGGTTTTAAATAGTTCTCTAACTGATATCAATCCGTGGTCAAACTCGTAAAAACAAATTTAATCCTTACAAACCAACTCTAGAAGACTCAGAAACGGATAAAGTGTTTGGAAAATCCTTCTTGGACGATCTATTTATCACATTTATACTTATTTAGACAATTTAAATAACTTCGTAATTACTGGACGTATCTTCTCTAGACTGTGCATCATTAATTTGACCTTTGCATATCACATGATGATTTTTAACCTTTATTATTCGCCTTTGTCCTTGTTTAATCTTTAATTGTAATAGTTTTCTTTGTGTTTGTGTATATATTGATAATGTGTTTGTTGTTAAACGATATGAGTTTGTTTGAGTGAATGAATTTCACTCTGACCTAGGAGATCCTGATGTTTGGTTTCTGTGGACAGAACTTTTAATCCCACCTCGTTGGAAATATTTTCCTCGGCTCTAAGGTACTTTTTACAAGTGAACTTTGGTTAACTCATTTTGTCAAACAGTACTTGTTTCTATATTTAGAAACACACATTCCCTGTATAGCTGGCTGCCTCACCGCACTGTTGAGGTAAATTTGAGTTTCAATGTTATTATCGTCTAATTGAACCCCTAAAATATTGGAGAATAATAGTCTAAAACAGTTAGTCCCTTTCATAAATTTGGATAGTGTTATTAGAAGACGGAGATTATCTGAAAAATAACTTGATGTATTTACGCTATACATTTCGAACAATCTGATCCCTCACACATTTACTTGTCAAGTCGATATATATGAAAAAGTTAATTTAAAAAAAAGTGACAAAAATAGGATTTAAGAATGACTATAACAACATTTGGTAATCCAATCAAATAAGGATTACCAAGGTAGGTTAAGAGTAATAATAAATTGTTTTTGGATACCCAGGAGGGTGGGTCTTAAGTTTATAAATGGCTATAGTCTTGGAGTATTTCAATAAGCGCCCTTGACCGTTTTTATAGATGACCTTAAAGGCTGAGTTAACGTCAATCTTATGGTTCATCCACATGGTTCAGGGTTCGATCCCCGGTCGACGCACTCCTTTACCTCACTCAGCCAGAAGTAAAGCTGGTGAAGAGGAAAGGTTGGGCATGAGGCTAGCAACCCCATCCTGTAAAAATAAACACTGCTACAGAAACTTCAAGCCTTTAGCTTAAAGCCTTATGTTCCACTGGGAACGTTAAGGAGAAATAAAATTTGTTTTTCTAACCATTTTGGGATATGCTCTCCCACCCTCACATGCAAAGCGCGATTACTCCTCCCTATGTATGTGTGACCACATACACATACGAAAATTGGTAAATAGTGTGGGATGTGATATAATCACTTGTGCACCTTTGAGGTTTGCAGTGGAGCATATTTTTAGCTTTTTCGACAATTACAAGCTGGGCTGTGTAGTAAGTTCTACGGATGATTGAATTCAACCTTTGTCTCAAAATCCTGCTGTTTATTTCCCTGTTATGTGGTAGTTTGATGAAAACATTTTTCTTAGGGGCGGTATAGATTGTAGGTTTAAAGACTAATTGACTTCTACACCTGTTTAAAAGCTTTAAAGGATATCAGTTTTCAACAAGCGTATCCGCCAATATTTCGTTTTCTTTGTGTATAACATAAGCCGTACAAATATGCTGAATCCTCTTAAATAGACATTTCATCAAGCCTCTCTTATACTGTAATGGACAGAAGCTGTCCTGTCCGAGTGAGCTTTCTGTAGATAGACCGTCTTATTGAGCCATCATCTCTTCGACTCAGAAGTATGTCTAAAAATGCAAGCTGGTTGCGACTTTCTTCCTCGCAGGTAAGATATGCGATTCTGTACAAAGTCTATCAAATAGACGAATCGCATCTTCATGATCGTCTCTTATCAAAATGATATCATCTACATATCTCCTATACAAGGGCAATTTAGAAATCAAATGAAAGGACAAGTTCTTAACATAAGACATGTAAACGTCCGCTAACAAAGGTCCTAATGGACTCCTCATAACAACACCATCCACTTATCGAAAATGTTCCCCTTCAAACGTGAAATGGACGTTGTCAGTGCATAATAGTAATAAATCTTTCAAATAAGTTAAAGGGAAAGGGAATGAAAAACAACTAGAAGATATATAGTCACAAAGAATATCAACAGTCCTAACCAATCGTACAATAGTAAACAAAGAATTAACATCAAATGTTCGTATCTACAAGACAGTCAACAAGTTCAAATGCATCTTTCAAAGTAAACTTACATAATTCATTGCTTACTGGACTTAAAATACCGGCTAACCATTATGGATTTTTATAAATCTTGTCTCTCAAGTCCCGAAGGCATTTTACAAATCTCTTCGATCTTCTAAACTTCAACCAAATTTTTCAAATCTTATTCGCCTTACGAAATCTCACATTGACAATTCTAATGAGAAGTTATGTGGATTAATTGAACTCCATTTATTGTCATCAGATATATTGTCTGATGTCTCCATAATTTGCTAAATCAAGTTCATTAATTTTTTTAGCTCTGCCGTTGATAAGTCGAGAGAGAATACTAGATTGAAAGTGCTTGGCGTATTGGAATTCAAAAATGACTTGAACGAGATCCAGGGGCATCAACTTTTTATAAACTTCTTGCTTGGTACACTGGAGGATATGCATATACAAGTTCGCTTGTTCTTGTGGAGCTGAGTACATTGGCTGTATCATACATCCGCTTGTAAAACGCTCACGGGAATACTATCCAGCATAATTAGCAAGGGGAGAACACAAAGGAGTGTACAGTTCGATAACAGAACATCTGGTGAATTGTTGACATTCGGCCCCATTTGAAAAATTCTTCAAAGCCAAAGGGAGTGAGATCAAGACATCTAGTAATAGCTGAAGCGCTGGCGATCCAAAAACTCAATCTTACTCTATGTGTCTACAAGAAATACGTTCAACTGTTGTCCCTACCGTGGCAATCATGAAAAGTCAGTTTTACCAATAATGATTATCCTATTACTTTTCTTGTCCAACCTTCCCATTTATTTATGTCATATTTACCTTTTTTAAATCCCTATATACATCATTAGATTTGGTTAGTGTTTTTATTTTTATATGTCCGAACCTCCTACCCATTTCGTTAATACTACATCCTTAACCCATAATTATGCAAACTGACGAGTTTTCCAGTTATTACAATCCTCTTCTATCTTTTCTACCCGATCTTAGTGATTATTACACGTTAGAATTTTAATTTGACCTTTGACCTGAAATATTTCTAGAATGGTATCACTACTTATCTTCTGTTTATTACACTTAGTAATTTTATTAATCTGACCTCTGACCGGAAATGATTCTGGAACTTTCTCACACATTTAATATAAATACACGAATGTACAGCCTACTTGATGCTGACTTCGTCGAAAAGAAAATTTTCTTCGATGCCAAGGTCTTTTTAATAATTCTTAGGACATGGCATTAGTGAATGCTTCTAGCTTGAAATACCTAGCGAAAAAAAATTTTGACTACTGTTTTAAAAACCCATTAGAAATATAATCCAAGTTTCCATAACTCTTGTCATTATGGTTAAAGCTTTGTACTTCTGATCTGGAATGGCATTTAATTGTTTGTACCAAACGTTTCCCAGAATAAATTCACGATAACTTCTATGCTTAAGGCTTTAATCGACAAGAGTTCAAAGTGCACGCAATAATAACTGGATCTAACGAATAATTACATTATTATTAATATTTATTATTATTTCCTTTAATTCCTAGAGGAACATAGGGCTTCAGCCGCGCGTCTCCATTGCGTTCGATTCTCTGCTAGAGTTTTTACCTGGCTCCGAGTCTGCCCACATGTTTTCATCTCCTCTTCACATGACCTCCTCCGAGTCACTCTCGGACGACCAACTCGCCATTTCCCTTTCGGATTCCACTCGAGGGCTTGTATAATGATGTCACTTGATGGTTTCCTCAGAGTATGGCCAGCCAGTCCATCTCCATTTCTTCCTGCCTATTTGTTTCACAGTCGGTTCCCAATGGGTTGGTTTGCTCATTGCCAGAGATCCCTATTGCTAATCTTTTCTGGCGATTTGATCTTGAGTGGTATTGAGCGAAGACAACTGTTAATGAAGGTGTGTAGTTTGTTTGAGATGCTCTTTATGACGCGCCAAGTCTCTGATTCGTATAGTGAGTAGCACTGACTGACTTCACATTGGAGTTGAAAATCCGGATCTTATTTTTCAAGCTGAGTGCTGTTGATCTCCACACAGACTTGATAGTAATGAAAGCTTGTCTTGCTTACATACTACAATGTAACATGCGAGCATGGCTTTTCATAATTTGTTTGTTCCTTTGTTATTAAATGGGCTTCGATGGTTCAGCACGCGGTTCGGGATTTAACTCCCGGTTGACGCACTCCTAAACATCTGTAAGTCGGTAGTAAGTCTGGTAAAGAGGAAAGCTTGGGCCTGACGCTAGCACCCTCACCCCGTAAGATTGACATCACTACTATGGGAACTGCAAAGCCCTAGCTTCGAGCCCTATGTTCCACTTGTAATGTAAAGGAATAAAATAAATATAAATAGTCAATAATAAGAATATAAATTTGTAGTCAAATGTTAGTTGCTCCAGAGTTTGTGTACATATGAATATATCAGAGATCAGTTTACCATTTTACTGCAGTGAAATTTGTATTTCGCCAGTGATACACACATGGTAGTTAAGCGACTAGAAATCTGCTGTCATCAGATAAACCTAATAAAAAATTTAATACTTATCAGGACAGCTTTGTGTACGGTTATTACTTCTCGGCACCTTACACAGTGGAAGTTGATTGCTTCCTGAGACATCTTAAGCAGACAAGTATTACTTTTGAGTAAACTCAGACTTTGAGAGACAACTGCAGGTCATGCACCGTCCCTTTAAGGTGATTTTTGAACTTGTGCCTGTATAAAAACCACAGCAGAGAACAGTGGGACAAGTTGGGAAATAAAACTTCTCTCTCTCTCTCTCTCTCTCTCTATATATATATATATATATATATATATATATATATATATTCTTGACCAGACGCCTTTTTAACCACTATTCACTGAAATCTTTGACCCTTACATAATTGTATTATTGATTTTACGTGTCCATTCAATTTGTAACATTCGTTCGTGATTCTGGAATATTTCTAAATCGTTTCTATACATAATAACAAGTTTAACAACAACTTTTGTTCCTATCAATCATACTACTTAATCACGTGATAGTAATATCCATCAGTATTATGGTCAAAAACTGAAGTGTTTGAATATTAAATTGTTTTTGGTTGCTCACAGGTGACAAGAGCTAATGAAATATAATGGCATCATTTCGTTCTGCCCAATGTTATCCGCATTTTTACCATATGTATTTGAAGCAGTACTGCGTAGGTGAATGAAAGTGCTGGTCTCCTTCAAATTGATTTTGGTTGGTTGGTTGTTGTTGTTTGTTAGGTATCTTCATCGATTCTATCTTCTCTACGTTTTCCCGAAGTCTTGTCATTGCTGCTTCTTTTATCTAGTTGTAGTTTTTCGCCTGTGAGCCTAAGAGTTTTTATGGAATTAGGGATAAATCCTTGGCGAATTTCAGACCTTCTGGAGTCATCTCGTCGGTGCAACGTGTACCCTTCTGTGTCAGTGATGTACTGTAGATGTTGAATTTCATGCCTACTCCAGGTTGTGAAAGTATATCATATCCGCTGTATTTAGATTTCAGAAGAAATATACGAAAAAAGAAATGAGATCACCAGCACGTTACCAATAGTAGCAAGTATATTAACAGATGGTTGGGAAAGTAAAGCGTTGGGAAAGCATCTAATCTTGCTCTTTGGTTATGGTGAAGATATGTGGACAATATATTCATTTTTACTGAACTCTTAACATATTTATGTATTTCTCACACATATAAAATCAGGAGTAGATGGAATCCGGTTTACTCCTGATTTAGAATATGAATGAAGTGAGTTGACCATTCTAGACTGTAAAATAAAATGAAACAAGATGTTGGGTCAGATACCAGCATTTATATGAAACCGACATATTTTAATAAGTACTCAGACTTCAATTCCTCTCAACCGGAATCGGTAAAGACAGGTCTGGTTAAAGATCTATATAATCGGTTCGTGAGTCTTAGTATAATAAGCCAGAAGATTTACATAACTATATCAAACAAATAAAGGAAATATTACCAGAATTTATTCAGATATGTTTGAAGAACCATAGAAAAAATAGGATTAGTAATAAAATTAACAAAAATAATATATAATTCAAAGCCGCCGTAGTACTTCCGTACAGAGGAGGAACATCAAAGGCCTTGTGTAAGATTCCTTATTAGACCAGAATTAGGTTGGCATCTAAATTAACTAACTTACTCAGAGACAGATTATATTGGCTTAAGGACCCGATAGATCCAGGTAAGAAACATGATATCTATTTTAGCAGCCATCATTTAATAGGCGTGAGATCGATTATATAAGTCAGACTTGTAGATCACAGTCAGTTAGGCTATCGGAACATGGGAATTTAGACAGATTTAGAGTGATTGACGCTGACAAAATTAAGTAATCTAGAAGTCGTTTTGGCCATTGCAATACATTCAGATTCATGTAATCCTGCAATAGAGTAAAATCATTGAAAAGTGATATAGTTAGGTGGAGATAGAGGTTAATCATCAGATTTTAGTTCATCGAATCAGCATCAGACGGGTGCATTCAAAATGATACAACATCTGTGCCAGATATATGGAATATTGTGGTGATTGACAATTTCTATCGCTGTATTGTTTAAATACTTACTGTTGTTTGTTAACATATTTCTTATATGAATTGAATAATAATAATTCCGCCAAATACAAATTCCTAGATTCATTCCTCTCTGTGTTTCGGTTGAATTCCTTTAATTCGGTCATTGGGAAATGCAAATACTACTCTTACAAATAATTACAACAATTTGACGTCGCTATGGAATTAAATAATCTTGAAAAGTTTCCTATAAGTGGTTCACCACGGGAAATCGCCGATTATCTTGAATGTTTCGACGCATGGTACATGTCAAAGAATATTCGCGATGACAAAATTTCAGCTCATTTTATTACTGCTATTGGGTTAGAGGCCTACAGCCTAGTGAAAACTCTGTCATTTCCAGATATACCAATTTCTCTGCCTTATGATAAACTCCGTGAGCTTCTAAAAATCACTTCCACATAGCAACTTTCGAAACACGAGAGAGGGCTCAGTTCCTCAAACTTGTTCGTGTTCCCAACCAGAAGGCTAGAGACTTTACTTATTTTTATTTTATTTTTGATTACAGATTGATTCCACACTGTATTTTTGGTACTACTATGGAATTTTCAACATGGATATCGATAGCCCAAATTTTGCAGGCCGACCATAGATATCGGGTGTGCGTCGGCAGGGAATCGAACCCCGGACCATGTGCATGGTCGGCGAGAGTCCTAACTACTGTGCCACCGATGCTCCCTTGGGTTCTTAGTGGAACATAGGGCTTCAACTGCACATCTCCACTTGCCACTTCTGTCTTACTTCTGCTGTACTTTAAACCTGCATCCATGTTACTCCATACTGTTTCAACTCCTCTTCACACGATCTCCTCCATGTCACCCTTGCACTGACGTCCCACTCGTCGCTTCCCTTTCGGGTTCCACTCGAGCGATGGCCTGACGCGCGCGCGATATCACCCGGCGGCCTCCTCAGCCACGAGTGTCCAATCCATCTCCACTTTCTCCTGCATATTTGTTGGGCGATTGGTTCTTGTTTTGTTTGTTTGTTCCCATAGTTTCTTGTTAGTGATTCTTTCCGGGCCGACCATCTGATCTTCAGTATAGAGCGAAGACAGTTGTTAATTCAGCAAATTACCTCAACTTAGTCCTCAGACATTTTTGAAGCGTCCGCATTAAGAGTCGATACATGCCATAAAAAGGTCGAACATTTCGGCTCAGCCAATCAGCGGAAAAATCGAAATTAAATAATAAGATGGTATATACAATCGTGTATTTAATCTGGATGAAATAGTTCGCTAATACGAGTCTATATGTAAAGTGATGCGTTCTTTTGATTAGTTGCATCGGTTTATTGATATTAGATGATTGGAGGTGATCGGTAAGTGGCCTTGCGTGGTGTAGTTTTCGTGCTACCTGGCTCTCACCAGTCACCAAGGTGTATCATCTGCGACTACCTTGAGATTCGAACCGGCGTCACCCAGTACTGTAGTCAGACACGTTAACACTGAATCAGGTTACCCTACAATGAGCTTTACGCAACCAGAGTCATTTAAGTTTAATGAAGTATTTTAAATCATAGTTTACAATTTATGGTGCCTTAGGAAAATTCATTACTGAAATAATAATTTCCGATGTAATTTATCAACAATTCTGAAATCAATACAAGGTTGCTGAAAACGTTTGGAGTTGATATGGCTCACAAGCCAAAAATGCAATAAGTTCAAGATATATAGCGACTAAAAGACACAAGATGCGTCGGTGGAGAAGAGGCAGACTGCTCGTCAACCACTAACGTGGTCTGGGGTTGAATTCCAAGTCGACGCACGTCCGAAACCAGCTTAGCTGATAGTAAGCCCGGCAAAGAGGTAAGACAGGGAGTTTCAGACTAGAATCCCCATCCCGTGAAAATAAAACCGGTACTGTCGAAACTTCGGAACTCAAGCTTGAAGCCCTATATTCTGCTGGAAACGCAAGGGAACAATAAACGACACAAGGGCAAGAGAAGTCAAGGCTAATATCATCTACAAAGTAAACTGTAACGATTGCAAAAAACATCATGTAACTCAAAGTAGATATCCTCTTCATCTCCACATCCGCTAACATGAGCTATCTGTCGAAAGCCATGATAATCACTCCCTTGTATTAATCCATGCGGACAGGTGAGCATACCAATGCTAGTGGAAAGATGTACAAATTTCAGGCATAGGTAACACCAAAAGTGCTAAAGAAATTCTAAGAAACCTGGTACTCAAATGAATCTGCAATCAGCAGACGTACTGGCATAGATTAGATTTGTCAGGCAGTGAATCAGTAACACGGACAAGGGATTAAATATCTAGTCAACGAAATAATCAGTTTCAATACAAATGAACAGATGGGTAAGAAATTCTCCGCACATAACCAGTCGTGTTCAAGACCGTCAGAAGATACGGTATTTCTCATTAAAGATACATATACTTTTGGTGTTAGGTGGTTGGAGGCTGTCAGTAGGAAGACCTGTACGAACGTCGCATAACTGTTGGCGGTCTTCAGCAAGGCGTGTCTGCAACCTTTTTTTTGATTTACAGCTTGATTCCACACTGTATTTTTGGTACAAGTATGGAATTTTCAGCATGGATATCGGTAGCCCAAATTTTGCAGGCTGACCATAGATATCAGGTGTGCGCCGGCGTGGGCTCGAACCCCGGACCATGTGCATGGTCGGCGAGAGTCCTAACCACTATGCCACCTTGAATGAGTTAATGTCCCCTTAGAGATCTGAAACTTTTTCACCAAGTTCTGTAATCAAAGATGCTGCCACCGAGGTGTTGTAGATCACGATTCATCTCCTCACAATGTCGACTCCCTTGGTTTGGTAACCAGTTCAGAAGCTTCATTAATAAAAACAAGACAAGTAGTCCAAGGAAGAGGCTCTTTTCAGTGAATTCACTTTCCTCTTTATCTGTACAGTCGCATTTATATACAATTTTTCATGAAAGAGGGCGGTAACATGAAGGATGAGTAGTCTCAAGAATAGTTATTAACATCGATCAATGCATAAAAGGAGTTGAATAGTTGTATAAGAGTTATTTAATAGAATCAATCATTTAATGAATGAGCTGTAATCAGGATGCACATAGAAACAAGAGAAAATTTAGAACTATTAATGGGGTTCAAAAGAAATACAGCAGTTATAAGAAGGAAAGAAAGTCTCGAAACCATGTATTTCTCAGTAAAGTTGAAGGGTTATGTCTCGTCTTATTTTAGACTCATCGTCATCATCAATAGTTTGATTGTAATAAAACTGAGTCTTCAGCGTCGAGTCCATTTTCTCAAACTCGGAAATAATATCGACTACTTGTAAAGTGGGTAGATAATGGTAATTTTCATCATGAGCTGACACTGGTTACAGAACCATTGGAAAACTTAGGAGTACTGGACAGCTGTTTCGCCAGCCTAGTTTGGGACTCTTCATCAGTACACAACCACTGGAATTCGAACCCAGGACCTTCTGGTTACAAGGCGAGCTCGTAGACTGTTAAGCCAATGGGACCCGATCCAATAGCCAGCCCATGAATTCTAACTTCAGCAAATTCACAGCATAGCGCGACCCCTAGCTAATGTTGGCTCATAATGAAATCCTGTAACCAATCAAATCCCTAAACACCAACACTTGAATGGTAATTTTCCTTCGATTTTTTTTAACAGGATGGAATATACCTGCTTCTTTTTGTGGGTATACTCCTTATCTGAGTGTCTTAAAGTCACCTTAGGTTCCTCTAGACATAAAAGCAATATCACAAACTGGATAGAAATGTATATCTGTAACAACAGAAGACAAGGGCCAGCCAAACAGATCGTTTATTTACGAAATCAACACATATTTATAGATTTTCATGTACATTATTATACATTATTGTTAGCAGAAAAACACAGTCTTCTGGTTGGTTGTTTCTCACTGAAAGTTCATCTTTCATCTCTTTGTGGCTGTTTCTTGAGAATGTCAGATCATCTATATGTTAACTGTATCCGCCTACGGAAAGCCTTTGTTCTCACTAATTGGGAACATAAACACTGACGTAAATTACTGTCCACCAATTTTGGCTAACAGCCAGCTCTCATCACATATCTATATAAAGAGTCCAAAATAAGAAGAAATGTGCTTTCTGGATTCCCTTCTTTTTCGGTCAACTGAATTCCAAGGGGGAATGTAGAGCTTCAGTTCCTTGAAGTTACATTAATGATAGTGTTGTATTTACTGATTAGGTTTGCTAGCCTCATGCCTAACCTTTCAAGCTCTCTACCGGATATCAAAGTAGGAGAGATTTAAGGGGTTCGCCAGTTGGTGAGACCTCTTGTGTGGCTAGTGGACATTTTACCACTGAACCACTGAAGCACCTGTTTATACTATAATTTGTTTAAAATGACCTGAAGAAATATCGTTAGAAATGTCCTTTTTAATGAAGAATTTTACTATTTTTATTGCTTAATTCTCCCTATTTAGACAATGGTCAGTGGGGAAGGACGTTTTTTTCTACCCTATTTATAAAATATGCAATATTCTACAACATACCTGTTTGTTTAGAAATATTCAACTGTTTGGTTCGTGTTTTTGAAGTCTAAGATTTCATTAAAGTTAAATTTTTTCTTAACTTCTTGTTGAAATGAAGATTTATGCGTAGCAGAATGAGGGTTCCTGTTTGTCTTCACCTTGTCTTTTTTTGCATAAGGTAGGACAGGGGTGCTTGAAGCGGAGGTTTTCCAACCATACCGTGAAGCAAATGTGCTCACTGCACGCTTAAGTTTTCAGTTATTGATAAAGTGGGATTAGATTTATTACTTGCCTACCCACCTGCCTACCTGACAAAATAATTTATAACTTTTCAAAATACAATTAATTACTAAATTATATAACACTAAAATATTGTGATATAAAAGATTCTTTATATTATTGTGTGATATTTCATACACAGAGATTTTCGTCATTTTTGAATAGTTAAAGAGTAACACAAGAATGATGGATAGAACAAAGTCACTACAATGGAAAATTTGTCTATCGCTTAATATACTATTATTATTATTTATTATGTTGTATATGGCTAACTGCTCAACATTACCTAGACAAAAGCCAAACATTCGACAATTCGCCAATAAAACAGAAGGTAATAAAATGGAGATTGTCTGCATCCTGGATCATGATGTCTATTGCCAGGAGCATTACGTGGAATTTATGTAAGTTACTAAACTAAACTGTAAACTTTTTAAAGCAATTAGTTCTCTTTATGAATTTCGACAACACAATAAGAAGACGTAGTTTATCTGAAACGTGTAATGTATGTACGTGTGGAGACACGTACACAGGGAGGACCCATCGGTCTCTGCATATTAGGGCTACAGAACACATTCCAAAGTGGCTGCAACAACAAATGAAATCGCCAGATACAATTTACCCCGGAAATAGATGTCCAACATCATCCATATCGAAGCACATTATAGAGATGGGTCATAAGGCTGATTTTAACAATGCCTTTAAGCCGATATATAAAACAAGGTTGGGTCACATACTTAAATTTATTGAAGCTTTAGCCATAAAAAGACTTAAACCTGTCTTATGCGTCCAAAAGTTACCTGCTTTGGTAATCTAATTTAGAACCAAGGACCAATTTACTTCATAATATCTTCAATCCCCTTCTTTGCCTTGTTTTTCCTCTCTTTATCTTTCTTACCCACACCTTTTGCGTCTCCCTACCCATTATTTGTGACCTTGACCTGTACACAATCTGACCTGTATTGTAAATATTCATGCCTTCTTGCCTTCTATAAAAACTGTGTATGACAAGTAGTGGTGTGTGGGATCAGAATGTCCTAAATGTGTTGCGCCAATACATTACACGTTTCAGATAAACTGTAAACAATTGTTATTCCTTTCATATGAACTGAGATCAGGATTTGACCGAATAGTTCCAAAATAATTGGGCGAAGAGTAAGAGGCAGACATATGTAAAAAATTATATTGGTTATTCCTCTTTATTTGTGCTCTTTTTTTAATATAAGCGTCAGCGGTTCAGTAGTCGAATACTTGCCTACCATGCAAGTAGCTGACGAGTGTTCGATCCCCGGTTAATGCATGCCTCGGTGAGACAGAGGTTTGGACTCTCTTTAACCGTGCACATGGTTCAGGGTTCAATTCCCGGCCGACGCACCCCAGATATCAATATTCGGCTTGCAAAATTTGGGCTACCGATATCACATGCTGAAAATTCCATACTTGTATCAAAAATACTGTGTGAAGCCAAGCTGTAATAAAATAAAAAAAATAAATAATTAATGAACCACGTTAAGTCGGCAGTAGGCTGGTAAATAGGAGAGTTTAGGTCTGTAACTAGCAACCCTATCCAGCAAAAAAAAATAGTACCACTGCTACTGAAACTCCAAAGCTTAAGCGTGAAGCCGTATTTTTCCACCCGGAATGTACAAATAGGGAGAAAGAGAAAGAATAGTAATATCGAGTGACATTATCTCATGTAAGAGCCGTGTATTAATGACTCTTACCATTTATTAGTTTGTTTATTAGATGTATCACACAGTGAAAGAGTATTATTTACTGGATGATACAGTTTCGAACACAATTCATTATTGTTCATAATCATATCATCAATTGTAATCACGCGACTTTGAAACTTGAATTTTATCGTTTTCTTTGTCTTCTCCTATCTGTCGTATGGGTAGTAGAATTTTCCAGATATCTGGAACAGGGGTTGAATCATTCCTATTACATGTATTTGCAGTTGATTCGACAAACAAAGCTTCTGTTATCAATCTCTCCATATACCCTGTGACATTCGGTTTTAAAACTGTCATCTTATCCTATCCCATCCTATTGTATGGTTGTGTGTAACTGAATGTAGTGAGTGCTATGGCTGAACTATTCTCCAGATTTCTTATCTTATTTGGGTCAACCAATCTAGATTTTGCTGGGTTTTTATGTTCGGCTAGTCTGACTGCCCCTGTTCTACTAGTTTGACCTATGTATTTGACCTGACAATCAGTGCAGGGTATTCACTTATGAATTCGAAAATAAGGAAGGGGAGCTCCCGATGTTAGATTGCAACGTATAAAGGAGAGAAGATGGGAAGTTAAACATCAGTGTTTACAAAACACCCACACATTCAAACAGATATTTGGACTTCCGATCATCCCATCCTATGTCAGTAAAAATAGGATTGGTGAAATGTTTAAATGACAGAGCATAAAAACTAAGCAGTACCAAGGAAAATCTAAGACAGGAAGTGAGGCATGCAAGAAGCCTTATATAGTCAAGAAATATGTAAGGAAATCTAGAAATAAAATGAATAATGATAATAGCGATAGTGATAATAATGATAATGACAACAATAATAATGATAATAATAGTGATAATAATAATATTAATGACGACACCAACAATAAGGAATCTAAATCATCAGTAGTAATTCCATACAGGGAAGGAACCTCGGAAACCTTACGCAGAATTCTTAACAAGGCAGGAATAAACGTGGCTGGTATTTGGCCCACCCGCAAACTCATTTAGAAACAATCCTTGTCGGTTGGAGGATCAATCCTGTGGAGCCTTTAAAACAAAACAATTTAGTTTATCTAATACCCCGCCTACAATGATTGTCAGGTCAAATACATAGGTCAAACTAGTAGAACAGGGGCAGTCAGACTAGCCGAACATAAAAACCCAGCAAAATCTAGATTGGTTGACCCAAATAAGATAAGAAATCTGGAGAATAGTTCAACCATAGCACTCACTACATTCAGTTACACACAACCATACAATAGGATGGGATAGGATAAGATGACAGTTTTAAAACCGAATGTCACAGGGTATATGGAGAGATTGATAACAGAAGCTTTGTTTGTCGAATCAACTGCAAATACATGTAATAGGAATGATTCAACCCCTGTTCCAGATATCTGGAAAATTCTACTACCCATACGACAGATAGGAGAAGACAAAGAAAACGATAAAATTCAAGTTTCAAAGTCGCGTGATTACAATTGATGATATGATTATGAACAATAATGAATTGTGTTCGAAACTGTGTCATCCAGTAGATAATACTCTTTCACTGTGTGATACATCTAATAAACAAACTAATATGGATTTACTTACTACCACAGTGCCCAAGTTTCACAGATATAGTAATATGACTCTTACCACTCATTGATAGGAGTATCAGGAGACTTGTCACTTCAACCGGTATTGCTTGGTAGCCTGATTGGAGTGATTGTAACACCAAATAAGTGTTTCGCTGTTTTCCAGCTAAGCTTATCAACGTTCTTACTCGGATAAGAAAACTGAATCAGTTTGCTTGACATAATCCCTACTTTTTTGATTGTTGTTTATGCTATCAGGTAGATCATTCATATATTTTGATGTGAATATTTTTATTTTGCGTTGGAAACTGTGATCGACTTTTACCCCGAAATGTGTATAATTTACATAATGTGAATTTCACTGGACGATTGTTATTGTTTTAGAAGTAGATGTTATAATATGAAAGGCATTCTGGAGGTTGAATTCATATATATATATATAAAGCTCACTTTAGTCATTAAATAGTATACAGTTTTATGCAAATTTGCTTGTTTTCTTGATTACAATTTATAGTATCAAACAGGTCACATTCTCTGACTTGAATAACTCGGTTTCTAAAAGAAACTAAGGTGAAATTTCATCACTCGAACTGTGAAAACTACTAATTGCTAACCAGTCTTCAAATTGTGAATTTGATTTATGGTATGTCCGGCTTGATCACGTGACTAACCGGAAATTTGAATAAAGCAAGAACAACAGTGGTTTGTGCAGAATAACATGGTACCAGCTGCTTACAGCCTAAATAAATTATGAGGTTTAAGTACAGAAAAGTTTTAACATACCTGCAAATTTTACATGCTGTCAATTGACAGAAAGTTTCGCAATTAGTAAACAGTGCTCAGAAAATTGCGTTTATATAGTTTTTACACAGGCAGTTCAAGTTAAAACAAAATAAATGTATGCATATAATGGTAAAGGAGTTACATAATAAAGATGAGATATGTGTTAGAAGCATAGTGACTAATAAGTTAGGTAACAATGTACTGAGTTGAACTCAAATCGTAGAAACAAGAGACAAGCAAAATTGCAGATAATAAAAGGAGGTTGAGGTTAGAGACAAAGACTACGTAATCAAGTGAAAGGGAGAATAAAGACATCCAGTTACCAAGGCAAGGAAAAACTAATAACTGCCTCTTTCTGAACACATAAATCTGGTTTCAAGCGTTTGATAGAAATTGCTTCGGCAAACTTGAGGAGAATGGAGCTCCTTTGTGAAGAAAATAAAAGACGGATTCAGCGAAGACTCAATGGGTATTCTCCGTGATTTGGAACTCTTTTGTCTTGGTTGACAGAATTCAGTCTGCATCAAAGAAAGGACTACACACATTGTACTAGTCACTAACTGGTGTCCAATTGAAATCACCGAAATTACCCATTGAGTCATGAAGAAAATAAAAGACAGATTCGACGAAGAAAATTTTCTTCATTGACGAAATCATCTTCAGAGGCTGTACAGTCGTATTTATACTTACCAAAAAGTACATAGTGATCTATTATTGAGTAATAGGGGGTGACACAATTGATATAATTAATCATAAGTGGCTTTAGAAGTGGAAATTAAAAGTTGTAAACTACATATTACTCAACGGAACAAAGATAGAAGTTTGATAAGGTTAAAATTGCTCTTGAGTGAGAATAAAGGTGGTAGTTGAGTGTCAATTTAACAAGTGTGAAGAGGGTGTGAAAATATACAAAAGGAGCATATGAAATTGATAATAGTGAATTACTCATTAAAGCAAAAGCAAACTAAAAGTAAAATTAAAAACCAAAGAAAAAATCAAAATTTTTAACAGGGAACGATTAGTGAAGAGGTTAAGACCAAGGTAGAATAAGAGACTGGACAAACTTTTTCTGTATACAGAGTTCAGGGTTGTATTGACGAATTACCCCCGCGCCTCCGCCATACACAAAAGCCGAGACCTGACGCCCTTTGTACCATTTGGCTTCACTTTGTAGATGATCGTGAAAGACGACTCTGGTGGAGCTACGTGGCCTGAATTCACCAAATGCTCGAGAATTGAGCTAGTGATTGTCTTGCATTGTCCCTTTGCTAACCATACCGGATAATGTTCAGAGATGCGTTTGGAAA